TCTTTTTCTCACTGAAATGCTGATTTTGTTTCGTCTTCTTCTTCTTCTTTCTTTTTTCTTCTTTCTTCTTTCTTTTCTTCTTCTTCCTTCTTCGTCTTCTTCTTTTCTTCTTCTTTTTTTTCTTTTTTGTGAGATGGAGTCTTGTTCTGTTGCCCAGGCTGGAGTGCAGTGGCATGATCTTGACTCACAGCAACCTCTGCCTCCTGGGTTCAAGTGATTCTCCTGCCTCAGCCTCCCGAGTAGCTGGGATTACAGGCACACGCCACCACACCTGGCTCATTTTTGTAGTATTTTTAGTAGAGATGGGGTTTCACCATGTTGGCCAGGTTGGTCCTGAACTTCTGACCTCAGGTGATCCATCTGTCTTGGCCTCCCAAAGTGCTGGGATTACAGGTGTGAGCCACTGTGCCTGGCCTTTGTTTCTTCTATACTGCCATCTCTAATAAACCTTTTTGTGTATTGTATTCCTTCCAGGTGACAGCACAAAACCCAAGACCACAGAGTCTACTTTTTCTCACCTGACCTTGTCTGAGGAAGTGTTACTCCAGAATCAACTGACACAGGGAGCCTCAAAGGACTCCCAATTAGGGCAAGTGAAGGATCAGCATGGAACATCTGAAATGCAGGAAGTTCGCTTGAAAGTAGGGATAGACCCCCAGAGGGAGAAGCTCCTGGAGAAAATGAGTTTTGAACATGGTGGTTTGGGGTCAGATGATGGTATATGTTCAAGGATTATACAAAAACAAGTTTCAGCGGAAGACGATCTCTATGAATGTGATTCACATGGACCAGTTACAGATTCCTTGATTCACGAAGTGAAAAATTCCTGTAAATGTGAGGAATGCGGGAAAGTGTTTAAAAAGAATTCCCTCCTTGTTCAACATGAACGGATTCACACTCGAGTGAAGCCTTATGAATGCAAAGAGTGTGGAAAAACCTTTAGCAGGAGCACTCATCTTCTTCAGCACCACATCATCCACACTGGGGAGAAGCCCTATAAGTGCATGGAGTGTGGAAAGGCCTTTAACCGCAGCTCACACCTCACACGGCACCAGCGGATTCACACTGGAGAGAAACCGTATAAGTGCAGTGAATGTGGAAAGGCCTTCACTCACCGCTCCACTTTTGTCTTGCATAACAGGAGCCATACTGGAGAAAAACCATTTGTGTGCAAAGAATGTGGCAAAGCCTTTCGAGATAGGCCGGGTTTCATTAGACACTACATCATCCACACGGGAGAGAAGCCCTATGAGTGCATTGAGTGTGGGAAGGCCTTCAACCGTAGGTCATACCTCACATGGCACCAGCAGATTCACACTGGAGTGAAACCCTTTGAATGCAATGAGTGTGGAAAAGCCTTTTGTGAGAGTGCAGACCTCATTCAACACTATATTATCCACACTGGGGAGAAGCCCTATAAGTGCATGGAGTGTGGAAAGGCCTTCAACCGTAGGTCACACCTCAAGCAGCACCAGCGGATTCATACTGGGGAGAAGCCTTATGAATGCAGTGAATGTGGAAAGGCCTTTACACACTACTCCACTTTTGTCTTGCATAAAAGGACCCACACTGGAGAAAAACCCTATGAATGCAAAGAATGTGGAAAAGCCTTTAGTGATAGGGCAGACCTCATTCGACACTTCAGTATCCACACTGGAGAGAAGCCCTATGAGTGTGTGGAGTGTGGGAAGGCCTTCAGTCGCAGCTCACACCTTACGAGGCACCAACAGATTCACACTGGAGAGAAACCCTATGAATGTATCCAGTGTGGCAAAGCCTTTTGCCGGAGTGCAAACCTTATTCGACACTCCATCATTCACACTGGAGAGAAGCCGTATGAGTGCAGTGAATGTGGAAAGGCTTTTAATCGCAGCTCCTCACTCACACATCATCGAAGGGTTCATACTGGAAGAAACCCTACCATTGTAACAGATGTGGTAAGACCTTTCATGACTGCACAGACTTCAGTCAACATCCACAAACTCCTATTAGGGAAAGAGTTTTTGAATATCACCACTAAAGAAAATCTTTGGTGAAAGAAAACATCTTACCATCTGGCCATTCCTACTAGAGAGAAACTTCATAAGCATCCTCTCTTTGAAAAAACCTGTCATAGATTATCATTTGTCATCTAAACAATCATGTTAGAAATTGAACCAGCCTAGAGTCTTATTCTCCATCTGAGAATTCACCCATGAGAGAGACCCAGTGGTTACTATGCAGTTAGGAAAACCTTCAGTCACATCTTTCTTCTTAGTTTACAGGGAAATGTTATCTCAGGGATATTTAAACAAAGGAAGAGGAGACATAGGAAAAGAAAGAAAACAGCTTCTTTTAGACTTGTCTGACAAGCCTATGGCAATTTGTCATCCCTTTGTTATTTTATATGGGAGAGGGAAATGTTTCAGAAACAAAAGATTTAATCCCGTATATTTTTCCTATGTGTGCATTCACTGCTGTCCGGTGTCAGAACAGTTAGACAAACGAGGGTTTGAAAACATTTTGTGAAAGCCTGCTTAGTCCTGCAACATTTTTTCCAGTCTCAAGGTATAGGAGCATACATCTTTATGAAAAACATGGAGGCTTAAGTTATAAAATACCTTTATAAGGAGATGGGGATGCGCCTATGTTTGGGCACATTTTATTGTCCACTTCAGATGCTTGCTTAAAAAATAACTTTCACCATGTGTCTCTACCCAATACACATACTTCTTGATGTGAATTTAGTTATTTCTTTTTCTTGGGATGGGGATGATAGTATAATTGTTTGTGCACAGTGAAATCCTGGGAATCTTAGTTTTTTCCTATGATTGTAGCTTCTCAGCTTCTTTACCTCTCCTTTGAGAGAGTTAGGTCCACCTCAACCATTTTCTAAAAGTCAAATTAGGGCCAAAACAAAATACAGTATATAGCTGAATTCATTTAAAAGATCATGATGAACTCAAAAAAACAAACACATAGAAGGAATGTCATTTTTAATCTTTTAAATAAGAGTGTGTGGGCCGGGCGCGGTGGCTCACACCTGTAATCCTAGCAATTTGGGAGGCCAAGGCGGGTGGATCATGAGGTCAAGAGATCGAGACCATCCTGGTCAACATAGTGAAACCGCGTCTCTACTAAAAATACAAAAAATCAGCTGGGCATGGTGGCGCATGCCTGTAATCCCAGCTACTCGGGAGGCTGAGGCAGGAGAATTGCCTGAACCCAGGAGGCGGAGGTTGCGGTGAACCGAGATCGCGCCATGGCACTCCAGCCTGGGCAACAAAAGCGAAACTCCGTCTCAAAAAAAAAAAAAAAGAGTGTGTGAAAATTTACTTTGGAATTTTAACAGGCAAACTGGCATGCATATATGTAGGGATGTCTGAGTTTCACAGTTGTCACCATGGACTTAGGCTTGATTAAAATGACATACATTTATAGCATTTTGGAATTCCTTTTTGATAATATTTTTAAGAATAGATTTTGAGCCACATGTGATAGTATGATACCTCACATTAAAAATATATATTGTACAAAAGTAAAAATCTGTTCGCTTTGAACTCCTCAAAGCCTTATTTATTTATTTGGTTTAGGAATGGAGGTTTAGTAGGCAAAAGAATGAGAAAGGAGACCAGCTCTCCTACAAGAGAAAGGGGTGTCCAAGTGGGACTTTTAAATGACCAAATGGATAGTTTTCAGTTGTTGTAGGCAAAGCCGTTTTGTTTTGTTTTGTTTTGTTTTGTTTTGTTTTGTTTTGTTTTGTTTTGTTTT